CTGCAAAGACTCAACGTCAGCCAAGGCGAGTGAGAAAAGGAAGGGTGCGCCGCTCTACATTGTGTACAATTGCGCGTGTGAGTTCTGCATTGGCAATACCACAACTATATCAACAACACGCTCGGTGAGGTGAGCATCTACAACATATCATCAATACCAAACCCTCACGCAGATACACAGAAGTGTTTCGCAGAAATTGCAACTAGGCACTCTTCGTGTCGTTCACTTGTGTGGACAGGCTGTCGGCTTGCTGGACGACCTAGATAAGGAGTTGAATAACTTTGCCATGCGACTCCGCGAGTGGCATCTTGGCAGGGACGGATGTCGTCGTCGGGTCAGGTGCAGGGCTTGTGCCGTCACCTTCTGAACACTCGTACCTCAAGCCTGGCCTAAGCCAAGGCAGCTTTCGTCGTTGGAAGCCCAGGTACGGGTGGCACTTTCCAGAGATGGGGAAGATCGTAACCGAAAACCTCGCTTACGCGAAGGCGGTGCGAAGCAGTTTCGAATTCCGGGCTTCGTTTGTAGGCATGGGATCCCAAGCCCTGACAGTGCCCCCTTGAGCCCGGCGTAGATAAGTGTAGCACTAGGCTCCGGTCACATCCAAGCCTGATCGAACGAGCTTTTCAGCCTCGAGCCAGAAACCGAGAGTGCTTGGGACGGTGAAGCTGGAACTGGCTTGCACCCGTGCCAAAGCGTACCACTCGGCCGAAGGCCCTCTCTGCAGAATGGACACCGCGAGCGAAGTCTGTGAACATGACACCAGATCTCCGAATCAAGGTCATAGCGCATGTCCCTAAACCCTAAACCCTAAAACCCAATGAGAGAGAGAGAGAGAGAGAGAGAGAATCGGAAGACCCCAGACTCTCCTATCGGCACAAGGGCCCTAGGCCCTAAACCCAAGCTCCAACCCCAAGCAGCTTCAATGTGAAAGTGCTCAGAGCAAGTTCCGACACACGGACGCAGGTGGTGCGTTTGATGGGCCTGAAAACTCGGGCGAAGGACGGCTTGGACGAAGGGCTGCGAGATTGGGAGGGAAGCTTGACCACGGCTGTCCGCATGATCTGAGTAGGGTTTGGATCTTGGCCTCGAAATCGGACAACCCGAGCCTTTTGAGGACACGGACCTGTCTGAGATCGGAGTCCCCGATGAGATTGCCGCGGAGGCCCGGCCAAAATCCTGTCCTGCGGGTTCCCAACTTTGCGCCGCTCTCACTCTCAGTGTGCCGCCGCACAAGAGGGTGAATGGGTAACATAGGAGCACGCCCCATTTCTCGGCGCATCTTGGGAGCCACCTTTGCACACGCACGCGCGCTTTGCGGGGATTTGCGGGGGCCTGCGTGTCATGAGTCTTGTTGGCTCACTGACTCACTGGCTTCTCGAAGACGGCGAGACAGGCATCACCTCTCGGTCCCAGCAGGGCCGAGGATTCTGTAGCACGAGGAAGAGGGAGGGCCTAGGTCGACTCTGGTACCGAAATCACCAGCAGTTGCATTGCGGTGCTGCAATGCATGGGCATCCGCGCCCTGAGCCTGCATGTTGACTTCTCGGATTTCAGCCTCCCATTCGTGTCAACTGCCTGGTCTGTCAGAGAGTCCGTCAAAGTCGTGGTTCTCGTTCCCTCTTTTCTCCCATGATGGTTCGTGCAAAGTGATCCCAACGTGTACTCCAACACCCTCCCATTTGCTAATCACTGCTCGGAGTCTGCCCCGGCATGTGCCGTGGGGGAACGGTCCGAGACTCGAAGCTGCAGATGGTTCCGGACACAGAGTTTGTGGTTGTTCCAAATGAGTGCGAGCTGTGAAACGTGGGAAATTCAGAAATTCCCAAACCTGGCTTCAAGGACGGTGTCGTGGTATCATGTGAATCCCTACCTCGCAGCCTCGAAGTCAAACCGCTTCCAGCCCATAGCTGCATCTGTACGGGAGGTGAGATCTGCGGCAGAGACTTCCATGGTGTGCCTGACCGGTTTCGGAGCATCGGGCAAGTGAGCCGCAGGGTTTAGGTTCAGGGCTGTGCAACTGGGGATATTTTGCTCTTGCAAGCATTGGGTGGTTGGGTGGTAGTGGTAGTTCGTTTCCCCTAGACCAGTGTGGTGTGTGAAACTCCAAAACTTGGGCAGCATGGCCATCTCGACATTTCAGAAGTGGCGCAAAAGCTCACGTCATGGAAATCATGGAAAGAGAGTTTGGGCCATCTAGTCAGACCGCCTGCTTGCAGCAGCGTGCCCGGCTCTACAGACGGATTACGGCCTTCCAACTGGAACTGCAGTGCCTGGGCAGAGTTTCGCTTCTTTGGAGAATGCATGTCTTCTTACCATTTGAGCAGACTGGTGAGCTCTCTGACGAAAGGTCCGTGATGGAGAGGGCGACGCCCGCTGAGCCGGATCATCAAGGAGAAGTGGCACCCGTCTGAGAGCAGGAGGTCTCTGAACAGAGGCGTCGCAGTTTCCTATTTCCGCGCTTCTTGAGTGCGCTTGAGCCGCCGAGGCAGACGTGGAAGCAGTTCACCTTGCCCCACCCGGCGATTCGGAGCAAGGCCCTGCTGAGGACTCGATGTCGGCGTGGTGGTCCCGTGCCTGAGCCTGCAGTTAGACGTCTGTTGTGTATCGCAATCCCGTGCTTTCGACCTGCGAAAAAGTTTTTTAACGCATCCGTGCGCTAGGCCACCGACAGTGCATGCAGATCCTCGTGCGACAAGAATGTGGTCGAGAGCGCTGTGAAGAGCAGCTCGAGGAACTGAAAGAAAAGCTGCGCGAGGAGACTAAGCGCAGGCGGGTATTCAGTCATGAAGCGCCCGGCTTGAAGCCGCCACGTTCCACCTCTCTTGAGCATGGCGCTTGGGCCAGGATCGAAGCGGAGGCCAAAGTAACACGCCTCCTGGACATAATCCACTCCATCACGCAAGGGACGAGGGTGCCCCTTGGCCAGTTTAGGCTGGAGGCTGCAGGACTTCAGGTGTTTGTTCCATAGCACCTTGCTGCTGCCAAGGGAGGAGTTGGATTTGGTGGTCGCCAATCTCTCAGTCAAGTGTCACGTATTGGCGGAGAATGCAAAGAAGCACGATGAAGAAATGCGTGCGATTGTGGAGGCTCGTAGATTGTAAGTGCCTTTGGAGTCGTTGAGCATGCGTGCAGACTTTCTCGTAAATTGTGGACCGGGCCTGGTGCAGGAGAAGAACGAGTTGAAGCGCAGTTACGAAAAGCTCCTGAATCACAACAAGCGCTTGCAAAAGGCGGGCCCACTCTGAATCCGGAACAGAAGCATCATATGCTCCATTTTGACAAGCGCCTGAAGGAGAGCACGAGCTGGAAAGAGAAGTGTGACAACTACTACGGGCAGCTGGAGGCAGTCAAGTTTGAGATGCGTGTTGCATGTCTTCATGCAGTGGACATAAAGTCTACACAGCATATCTGTAGCTTCAGCTGTCTCGGCTTGCCTTTGGCTGTGCAGAAACTGCACCTGGAGCGCCTGCGAGAGGGCCTTCAAGAAATGCTCCGGCTCCAAGGAATGGAAGACGAGGACAAGTCCTGTGCTTCCCGTCGTGCGACTTGACGCTCGCAGTCACTTGGTGTCCCTGCAGGAATTCCTGCAGGAGTCGCTGCAGGAGACTGCAGCCGGCTCCTCCCGAGCAGAGGACTGCCGGCGGCCAGCCAACTGCACCCTTCACTTCGCGCCCCCCGCTGCGTATGCTGTGCTAGAGGAATGCGCCATGCTGTCCTTCAAGGAAGGCTCGGACTCAGTGCCTATGCCACTGAGTCTCGGCAGAGTCTGTCACAATGGACACAGTGGGACCCGAAGTTGGCTCCTGGAAGCATTGGCACTGCTATCCAAGGAATTATCTTCCGGAGCATCGAATGGAAGACGAGGACATGCTGCTTTCTTCCTATCGTGTGACTTGTGGCTCTCGGTCTCAGTCTCGTCTGGCATCCCTTCAGGAGTCGCTGCAGGAGACTGCAGTCGGTTCTTCCCGACAAGAGGACCGCCCGCAGCTAGCCGACTACACCTTCTGCAGAGTTTCACTTCGCGCGTGTGATGTGGCTCCTGTGCTGGAGGCCGCAGAGGAGAGCTCGGTGCTGTCAAGTGAAGAAGTACCGCACACTATGGATCAGGACTGTCGGGTGATCAAGTAGCCAGAGTTCCACAGACGGCCTGTAAAGCGGCGCTGTGAGAGGCTTGTGCCATGTTGTCCTTGAAGGAAGAGCCTGACTCAGTGCCTACGCCACTGAACCTCGGCAGAGTCCGTCACAATGGACGCAGTGGGACCCGAAGTGCTCTTAGAAGCTAGCAGCATTTTCGTTGCCATCCAAGGAATCATCTTCCGGAGCATCTTGATCCAGCAATGCACACAGGAGTGAATCTGCTGAGCAGCTCCTTTCTTCCTTTCGGACACCTGGCATTTGTGAGTCGGTCGACGGATTGCAGTGCACAGTGATTTCCGTGCGCGCTTCCCTGTCCGGATGCAGGGTTTGCAGCTGAGGACTGCGCGCTGGTTGGCTCCACGGCAGAGCAGGCACGATGTGAGAAGGTGAGGTTGTCCGTAGAATGTAAACAGCTCTGACGAATCCTAAGTAGCATCTGAGCACTGCAATGTCCTGCGGTGACAGAACAAGTCACTTCAAACGAGCTGTATACATCAAAGGAGGTACTGGCACTGCCCTTTGTGCCGATGCTCTGCGGACGCACGTTTTAGACTTGGCCCGCCCGCCGAACACGGCAGTGGCAGGGGGCAAGGGTTTCATCGCGTGCCTTTGAACAGTACGCGGTTTCTCCGTTTCAGCCGCCTTGCATGCCGCGAGGGTGTGTACGACACCCCGCCGCTGTTGTTGAGATTGCAGGTGGGCGCTGTAAGGTACAGGACCTCTGGCCTCAGCTGTCCTCTCAGTCTGTTGCACATGCTAACATAGGAATAAGGCAAATGGTAGTACTTAGTAGCGATGTAGATAGCGATGCAGATATGAGCACAAAAAACAGCAAATGATATAGACTAATTGGATGCTGTTGCCTGGTCGGAGCCTTAGATTGCCATCAGAACCGGTAAAAAATGCCAGGGGCATCTCGAGGAAGACTTTGAAGTAACCTCTTTCCTTGCTTCTTCCAGTCCATTTCTCTCCACCACAAGCATGCCAGTGACATCGGAGCGGGAGGCGTGAGTTATTGCTGGAGGTTCCTTTCATGGAAAGTGAGGAAGTGAGGACTCCTCCCTATTGATCCAAAGTCAAACCTGTCAGGTGCAACCTGAACGAAGGCGTAGGCCCCAACAAAGGCTAGACCTGGTCCGCCAGGGCACGGAGATCACGGACGAGGATCTCGTGGAGACCTCATAAAGCATCAGAGATATCTGCTGCAGTTGCTTCCCACTTGTCAGTAGAGCTTTCGGTCTAGTTTCACGACTGTTTCTATCGCGATTTTCAGGAGGCCTTTCATGACCAGTTATGACCACCACCCGTACGATTCCCATTGCAATTGCTCGTGTTTTTCCTCGAGCGCTTCTTGTCGTCAGGATCGTAAAGTCGATGTCAGCACAAAGACTCAGGTTTTGGATTTCGTGAGCGTTTCTTTTAAGTGATGCCGGTTTTCTCTGTCCGTCTGTGTGTTTTCTATCCGTCCCTGTTCGCGAATCCGTCATTTTGTTGGTCAGTCTGTCTGACCCTTCCCAACGTTGTGGTGCCACAGATGTAGTAGTCTGAGGGTAACATCAAGACCCTCAGTGAGCGTGTGATCGAGCTCACGGAGTACCGAGCTTCGCTGTCCGAGTACCTTAAGGCGAGGCCAGCCATTAGCAGCACATGAATAACTCTTAGTCGACGGGTCAGGGTTCGAGGCCTGAGGTATGTAGGAAGCAGGGATCTGGATGCAGCAGGCAGGGGGACACGAAGCCCAGAAAGCCCCTAATGATACTTCACCGCCCAGCTGCGGATGAACGCCATCGCTCCGAATCTGACCTACATGGTCGGGGAGCTCGTTGGCGCACGGCTCATCTCCCAAGCCGGGCCGGTACCTCAGTGCGGGCAAGCTCGTGTCGAGGCCGAGACCTGAAAGATCGCTGTTGTTGAGGTCGTTGATGAGCTTGGCCAAACATCCATCCAGCACGGTGCAGATTCTTGGTGCTGAGAAGGCCGGAGGCATGAAGACATGCACACCAAAGGAATCCTTGCCCCCCTGCTGTTCCATTGATCGAGCTTGCATGCAAGTTGTTAAATTGCAAAACGACATGGCATCATGTAGAGTGACCCTCTGTTCCCATGTGTAAGGGAAGTTCACACACACACACACACGTGTGTACGTTCGCGTCTTGTGATGCCACGAGCGTACACATTCCGAGCAATTCAACCAATGTTACGTCTTTGTCTCGCTGGCAGGCGCTTTTCAGGGCTTTGAAGACCAAGAAAAGCACGCCGAAGTGCGCAGACACCATGTCGCATCTGCAGGAGGTCGAGAGCGAGCCCACCCGTGTCTTGCAAATTCAGGTACGGGTTGATCTACCACGCCTCTTTGGTGGGCCAGTCCGCCCCGGCTTTGAAGGTGCGTCGGGACATGCCCCGATGCGGCTCCTTGCTCCCACAAATTGTCGGATCGCCGCAAGGGCAAAATCTCCCGGGTCTTGGCCGCCAAGCTTTCGCTTTGCTGCCGCGTCGACGCTCTCGGAGACCAGGCGGCTAGCACGGGAGCTCACTGCTTGCGCAGGGAAACGCTGGGGAACTAGTGATCCCAGCCCTTCTTAGCATAACATGCAAGTCGTCTTTTCGCTACTTTCGCACTGCGATTCCAGCTTGTTTCTTGCGGCAGAGAGAGTCGTCTCCCAAAGCTTTCGTCGCAGATCCCCAGCCAGCATCTGAGCCTTGTCGGACAGGTGGAGCCGACCCTCGGGCAGGACCGGGGGCGTGGGTTTAGGGTTTAGGGTTTAGGCTTTTTCAGTTGCCAGCACCACCCAGCCTTGAAGCGGAGAAGGTGACGCCACTGAAATCCCAACCCTGGAAACCTCAAAACCTCAGGTCTGCATCGAAAGCCGAAAGCCGATATGAACAGGAGTTTAAAGAGTACGTGGAGAAGCGCCTGGCTACACTGGAGGAGTGGTGGCATGGATTTTTCATGTGTCCGGGCCAAAGCCCACACCAACTGTCCCAAACACGCTTCAGGGCTTAGGGGAACCTACCCGAGATACCCACTAAAGTCACTAAAGAACTTTTGCCAGGGGTCTGGTTTGCCGTCTTGCGAGGAGGGTGGCATGAAGTCCCAGACCAAGGGCATCAGCAGGCAGGAGCTCCGGGTGACGGGCGGAGGATGCTCGGCAGTTGAAACGATGCCAGGCCCAATGTCGGCAAGCACCAGAAGAGGCGTGGGCATGACCGGCTCCGTGTGGGAATGTGGGGATATCAAGGGGTTTGAGATGGAAGTTGAGTGTTCCGCTCGCATCAAGCGGCAGAGTCCGAAGGTTCAAGCTTAGGGAAGTTTTTGTCTGGCGTGGGGAAGCCTAGAAAGCGTTGGGCCGGCACGTCTGGAGGCCCGCGGTGAAGGGCAGCGCCACGGCCTACAGCGCGGAGGACGATGTGGTTGAGGCCTGGGGCCTTCTGCCCTCAACTCCAGAGTGGCCCATCAGCCCCGCTCTCCCGGTTCGGATCCGTCAGGAGGCACCCAAGAGGAAGAAGAAGGTGGCAGAGGCCCGAAATCCCTCCAACCTCCTGGGCATGCGACAGAGGTTTCGGGATGCTAGTTTGGACTTTAGACTTCGATGGTGAGGGGACTGCTCTTCGAGCACCCGAGTGCGCGCGCGCCTTTGCCCATCCGGTCGCAGGAATTTGGGTCAGGTTGGTGGGTCTGGGAGCGACTGAAGGTTGGGTGGGCAATGGTGGGCACTAGGGATCTGGACTGGGGTTCCGGAATTGCGTGGGCCATCGCATGGGTGTGACATAGGGTTTGCGGCTGATCGCAGCGGGGCTTGGGACCATCGTCCTGCGCATGGCGGTGTAGCCATGCAGGTTGCGGGGATCGCTCCTGCGACCGCTGCCCTTCCCGAAGCCTAAGCCCACAGGATGAAGAAGCCGAGCCGGTCCGGCGCTCAGCGATGGACCCTGGGTTTGTGTCGGACGGTTTTGGGGGTTCAGCACCGCAACGGTGGAGGGTGTAAGCACCCAACTCTTGGTGCCTGCAACCCGACCCTATATCGAAATCCGCACCCAAAGGCTCCGAAGAAGAAAAAGAAGAAGGCGGCCGACGCCGAAGAGGCCGCAGTACTGAGCAGCGTCAGGGTCGGGGCTTGGGATTGTGACCCGCGCAAGGCAGAGGCCGAGGAGGAAGAGGAGGCCCTGCGCTGTTGGAGCGATTAGAGCGCAGCTTCGGTTTTCATGCGACAGGCACCCAAGAAGAAGAAGAAGAAGAGAGCAGCCTGAGCTGCCAAGCTGACGCAGAAACCGCCTATACCCATGTTTCGGCCAGCATAGTATGATACCCTGCTCTTTCTTGTATTCGGCATGACTCTCAAGGTAGAGAAGATGACCGAATAGCTGTCGCCCCCTCCTCCCCTCCTGTCCATTGCGCTAAGAGACAGGATCCAGTGCACATCAGTTCATTAGCGTCTCGGTGAGGGTCCCGTTAGAGTGTGCAGTTCTCCTGTCATACACTTCAACCGCCACACACCTGCAGGGTGCGTTTCAAGCGCCTTGTGTCGGAACGGAACTCTTCACTGGGAAACAGCAAGTTTCACACATGTCAAGTGACTGTACATACGTTTGGGAGCTGGTCCCTGTCCTCAGTGCAGCTGCCCAGTATTCCGTGAGCGAATGTCAAAATTCATCATGGCTCGAAGTAGCGCCCGTCGTGAACCATACAGATCCAGTGCCACTCATGTTGCCGGCTTCTTGATGCAGGCTCAATGAGCTCAGGATGGAAGATTCGTCAGGTAACAGGTCTGTGTCCACCTGGCACCCTCTGACAGACGGCACTGGCCTGCATACCCCCTGCATGGCTCCCGATCTTACGATGGTCGTTCGTCTGCAGTCGGTGCATCCCTGACAAGAGGAGCGCCCGCAGCTAGCCGACTACACCTTCTGCCGAGTTTCACTTCGAGCGCCTGACGTGGCTCCTGTGCTGGAGGCGGCAGAGAGGGGAGCTCGGTGCTGTCTAGTGACGAAGTACCGCACACTATGGATCAGGACTGTCGGGTGATCAAGTAGCCAGAGTCAGAGTTCCGCAGACAGAGCCTGTAATGTTGTCCTTGAAGGAAGAGCCTGACTCAGTGCCTACGCCACTGAACCTCGGCAGAGCCTGTCGCAGTGGACACATTCGGTCCCAAAGTTGGCTCTGAGAAGTTCGAAGCATTGTCGTTGCCATCCCGGGAATCAATTTCCGGAGTTACTGGGTCCAAGCCTGCACACAGGAGTGAATCTGCTGAGCAGCTCCTTTCTTCCTTTCGGACACCTGGCATTTGTGAGTCGGTCGACGGATTGCAGTGCACAGTGATTTCCGTGCACACTTCCCTGCCCGGACGCAGGGTTTGCAGCTGAGGACTGTGCGCTGGTTGGCTCCACGGAAGAGCAGCCACAAACGAGCTGTATACATCAAAGGAGGTACTGGCACTGTCCTTCGTGCCGATGCTCTGCGGACGCACGTTTTAGACTTGGCCCGCCCGCCGAACACGGCAGCGGCAGGGGGCAAGGGTTTCATCGCGTGCCTTTGGACAGTACGCGGTTTCTCCCCGTTTGATGATGGCGCGAGGGTGTGTACGACACCATCGCTGTTACTGTTGAGATTGCAGGTGGGCTGAGTTCCACTACGTGTCTGTCATGCAAGGCACAAGATTTGGCTCCGGCTCACCTGTGCGAAGTGATTCGTGGTCGGGCGCTGCTGGTAGCTTCGAAAGTTTTTTGGCGACCCTGGTCTCGAGGCGCACGTGGCACACCGCGCTTTGAGGATTTGGCTGTGCGCAAGGTGAAAAGCGTGCTGTCCGGCTGCTAACGATAGTCAGAAATGGTAGTAGCAATGTTGATAGCCATGAAGATGTGAACACATGGAGGAATACCGATCATCGTGATTGAACATGGCTAAATCATGAGAGACGGCAATGTTGGACTCTTTGGATGCATTTACTGGGTCTGGGTCGGGACGTCAGGCTGTTAACAAGTGGTCTTTGTAGTGTTTGCCGTGCGGGGGACCAGTGAAGCTTTGATGTATCATGCAACCTTTATCATGCTAATTGGCCACTGCTCTTGAGCCGAAAGTGCGGATGAGGATTTGAAGAATGAACATCACTCTTTCGTGTTGTTTCCTTGCGGCTATTTGCCTCCAGCAGGTAGTTCACTCCCAGGTTGCACAGCTTCCAACACGCCACACTTGGCAGTGCCATTGCGGCGGGAGGTTTTGAATTTTGTTGGGAAAGTCCATCATGCCAGGGCACGATGGGGTGGCCATCAAAGAACCCGTATCTGTCATCTGGAACCTTACGCCGTTGCAGGGTTTAGGTTCAGGGCCTTGCATCTGGGGGGGATCGGGCGGTAGTGTAACCGTGGCATTCCATATCTTTGGTGGTATCAGCATCTCGGTGAGGTTGCCGCAGAGAAGCAGCGGACAAAGCCTTTTCCCGCGCCATCTAGTTAACTTGCAGCAGCGTGCCCGGCTCTACAGACGGATTACGGCCTTCCAACTGGAACTGCAGTGCCTGGGCAGAGTTTCGCTTCTTTGGAGAATGCATGTGTGCTTACCATTTGAGCAGACTGGTGAGCTCTCTGACGAAAGGTCCGTGATGGAGAGGGCGACGCCCGCTGAGCCGCATCATCAAGGAGAAGTGGCGCCCGTCTGAGAGCAGGAGGTCTCTGAACAGAGGCGTCGCAGTTTCCTATTTCCGCGCTTCTTGAGTGCGCTTGAGCCGCGAGGCAGACGTGGAAGCAGTTCACCTTGCCCCACCCGGCGATTCGGAGCAAGGCCCTGCTGAAGACTCAATGTCGGCGTGGTGGTCCCGTGCCTGAGCCTGCAGTTAGACGTCTATTGTGTATCGCAATCCCGTGCTTTCGAGCTGCCAAAAAGCTGTTTAACGCATCCGTGCGCTAGGCCACCGACAGTGCATGAAGATCCTCGTGCGACAAGAATGTGGTCGAGAGCGCTGTGAAGAGCAGCTCGAGGAACTGAAAGAAAAGCTGCGCGAGGAGACTAAGCGCAGGCGGGTATTCAGTCATGAAGCGCCCGGCTTGAAGCCGCCACGTTCCACCCCTCTTGAGCATGGCACTTGGGCCAGGATCGAAGCGGAGGCCAAAGTAACACGCCTCCTGGACATAACCCACTCCATCACGCGTGGGACGAGGGTGCCCCTTGGCCAGTTTAGGCAGTAGGCTGCAGGACTTCAGGTGTTTGTTCCATCGCACCTTGCTGCTGCCAAGGGAGGAGTTGGATTTGGCGGTCGCCAATCTCTCAGTCAAGTGTC